CTCTCACGGACACACACACTCTCTCTCACATGCACTCTCTCTCACACACACTCTCTCTCACATGCACTCTCTCTCACGCACACACACACTCTCCCTCTCACGGACACACACACTCTCTCTCACACTCTCTCTCACACGCACTCTCTCTCACGCACACGCACACTCTCTCACGCACACACACACTCTCTCTCTCACGCACACACTCTCCCTCTCACGCACACACACACTCTCTCTCACACGCACACACTCTCCCTCTCACGGACACACACACTCTCTCTCACATGCACTCTCTCTCACGCACACTCTCTCACGCGCACACACACTCTCTCTCTCACGCACACACTCTCTCTCTCACACACACACTCTCTCACACACACTCTCTCTCACACTCTCTCTCACACGCACTCTCTCTCACGCACACGCACACTCTCTCACGCACACACACTCTCTCTCACACTCTCTCTCACACGCACTCTCTCTCACGCACACGCACACTCTCTCACGCACACACACTCTCTCTCACACTCTCTCTCACACGCACTCTCTCTCACACACACTCTCTCACACACACACTCTCTCTCTCACGCACTCACTTTCTCTCTCACACGCACTCTCTCTCACACACACACACACACTCTCTCTCACACACACACACTCTCTCGCACACGCACACACACTCTCTCTCACACGCACTCTCTCTCACGCACACACAATTTCTATTTCAATTTAAGTGTGCTTTATTGGCATGACAACCTACATATTTGTATCTCAGCCAAATATAGTCCTATCTAAACACACATCAATGGAAAGCTTATTTATTCAGATGATGTATAAAAATGGACCCTTATGACTGGTTTGTGGTCCAGGCGTGTGCGTTAAAGGATCATACAGGCTCAAATGAATTAACAAGCACACTCGAGTAACGTTTAATCTAAATGAGCTTTATTGGAAACCACCAATCATGCAAAACTTGAATCAACTTCCATTTTTCCATCTAAAACACACACACAATCCCATCGGTTCTAAAACATCTGCCTCAGAAACCCCAACACAACCCATCTTCCAACGTTCGTCTGACCCTCTGAACCCTTCCCAGTTAAACACGGCATGCAAAGCTATGTTTTAGCGCACTACACTAACAGGAATGATTAGTAAAGATAAGCGGCTGGTTAAGCAGCATCTAGTCGGTGCAGAGGATGGCGACTCCGCGCTCGTAGAAGTGATGCGGGTCTTCTTTGGTGGCGATGTCGAAGTCGACGGTGAAGATGAGGTCTGAGCGTGTGAAGTTCAGATACACGGGCAGCGTGACCTGCAGAGAACACAGAGAGAGACAGCCTTTAATTCACTGATTAAACTGAAAATGATGGTCTAATTGATTATGCTAATAGGTTTAATTTGAACAAATTATCTGTAAATATATAAAAAAAAATCAAGTGTTAATTTTTTTTTGTGGTAAAAAATTACACGAGGATTTATCAAAAATGACTACTGAGCTGCCTCAAGAACAAACTACTCAATTCTTGGGAGTTATTGTTGAGACTTTGAGTTGATTATGCGAGTAGAAACATACATAAATCTACTGGAATAATAATGAGGGTTAGGCTTGTTGTTACTACAGAGTGTCCTCTTGTGCTTTATTATAATTATCCATATCTTTCATATTGTAATATAGTTTGGGCAAGTACTTTTCCGGTCTATCCTTCAGGAGAGTTTTGTTAAGAGTGCAACCCGATCAAACATATATATACTTCATCTGCTGCTTTATTTCACAAACTTCAGGTTCTTACTATTTATGATATTAATATTTTTCAAATGTGTGATTTTATTTATAAGATATATCCAAGTAAGGGTAACCTTCCAAAGCAATTTACAATGTATTTTAAATTCAATTCACCGGTTCACCGTTATTTAACGTACATTTTTAAATATTAATCTTCCTTAATCTCTCACTTGTAGAGGTCAATACTTGATGAGATTTAGGGGTAATGAATTATGGAATGGTTTGTCACATCTAGCAAAAACATTTTTCCTCTTTAATAAGTTATAAAAGATGTATAAAGGGATCAGTTTAATGCGGTTTTGTAATGGTGTATTTTTTTTCTTCTTAAAATGTAGTTTATGCACTACATTGGTTTGTTTTTGGAGTACATAATTTCCGGGGGTTTTGACATGTGTGACCCTGGAGCACAAAACCAATCATGAGGGTCAGTTTTGTGAAATTGAGATTTATGCATCATCTAAAGCTGAATAAATAATCTTTCCATTGATGTATGGTTTGTTAGGATCGGACAATATTTGAAAATCTGGAATCTGAGGGTGCAAAAAAATCTAAATATTGAGAAAATCATCTTTAAAGTTGTTCAAATTAAGTTCTTAGCAATGCATATTACTAATCAAACATTAAGTTTTGATATATTTACGGTAGGACATTTACTAAATATCTTCATGGAACATGATCTTTACTTAATATCCTAATGATTTTTGGTATAAAAGAGAAATGTATAATTGTGACCCATACAATGTATTGTTGGCTATTGCTACAAATATACCTGTGCTGCTTATGACTGCTTTTGTGCTCCAGGGTCACACATGTTGTAATTAATTTTTATTTATATATTTATTGTAATTTAGCTCTTTCATTGATTTCATGAGTTGTTGTTTTCTTTATCGTTCAGGAGGAGGCTCTAAATAAGCGGCGTCTCTCTGCACAGTAAATGGATTGTACTTATTCTTGTGCAAAATATATAAAGCAAAGTAAGGCCAGTGACAGACCATGCTCCTCTTCTCGGTGTTGCTCTGCTTCATCCAGTGCAGCTGCGTCAGCGGCAGTTCAGTGGAGATGCTGGTGGACAGAGAGAGCTTGTTGTTGGCGCAGGTGGCCCCCTGCAGCTTCAGACCTGCGCACAGACAGACAGACAGAACGCTCTGAGCCCCAGCAGACACGGACACGCTCCTCATCTCTCTCTCTCGAGCCGCTCTCACCTCTGATGCCGAAGCTGCAGGCGTCCAGCGCCGCTCCCTGCGCAGACGTCACATTCACCTCCAGACACAGCTCCTCCAGAGACCAGCTGTTGACCTGAGCCACGTACTGACGCGTGGCTGTGATGTAGGCCTCCGGCACGAACAGACCGCCCAGGTTCACATGGATGTTCTGCAGGAGAACAGCAGCCCGTTCAACACTTGAAACCACGAGTCTCCTGAGTTTGAGCCAGCTTTATCTCTATAGCGCTTTATACAATCCAGATCAGTCAGAGCAGATTCGCCGTGATAAACAGGAAAATAATGATGGAAAGTCAACTGTGTTTTACTTCAGATTCTGCTGTAAAGCAGCTCTAAAAGACAACAGTGTCATTATTCAGATCAAGCCAGTTCAGTTCAGAGAGGGCTGCATGATAAATCATGTTTTAATCGTGACTGCTTCTTTTGATTTATTAACTAAGTTCTCGCTGTTATACTCTAGGGGGCGCTATTACGCATCTCCTGAATGTGATCAAAAACACAGACCAGGAAGACGCAGAAACCAGCGAGCATACGCATATGATAAATAATGTGTTCAACAATAAACAGCATATAAATAATAAACGGCTAATGTTAGCGAGTGAAATGTGGATCAGAAAGTGGTAAAGGCCTGTGAAGCTTTGGGAGCGCTGATGGAAGCCATCTACTGCAGCTTAGCTTTCATAATATTACTGAATATGATCCAGATGATTCTCAGCTTTTTGCTCAAAATGTTGCTTTTTTTATGAAACTATATTGTGATGCATTGCATGTTCAGATATTCACACAACAAAATATTCTAGGGGCCATGAAATATTAGTGAAAATCCTCAAACATGCTGGCAACTTTTTTTCTCTTAATTTGTCACCGATGCAGTTTTGGTTCTTGCCACTGTCGCTTTGGCTTGCTTAGTTGGGGACACTTAATATTTGGCAACATTATGGATTGCATTCCTGGAAGCGAACTGAACCGAGCTGATGATGAGGCCACTGCTTTCTCCAGAGCTGCATTAAAGATGAAGCAACCTCTCTCCATAACTGATGGACTTTACACAGTTATTAAATGGAGCTGAATCAACAATTAACTGGTTTCAACTGCATGACGACTGTCTGCTATTTTTTAGAGCTGTTTTACAGCAGAATTGAATGCTGTTTGCATCACTGAATCACCATGTTATTATTGTACTGTATAAAGCGCTACAGAAACTAACATTTTCAGCCCAGTGATTTACTTAATCTTCACATGCACTGTCTGCTACAGAAAAGCAGCGATCCTCTTCAAACACCGGCAAACATGTTCAGCGACCTGTATTGAGATGTTCTGATCTACAATCATGTGGTGCGAGCTGCTGTTCTGTGATGTGTCACTGCACCTTGAGCTCTTTAGCGCCGCCGCTGGCCGCTCCCTGTGAGATCTGCTGCAGCTGCTTGATCCGCTCGCTGAAGTCTGCCACCCACTGGATGACGGTCATGGCTGCGGGGACGGTGTAGCGGCTCCAGCTGCGGGGCAGGATGCCTGTGGAGCACAGCACAGCGCTTCAGTGACCCGGCGCACACAGACACTGATCTGAAGGGTCAGAGGTCACTCCGCTGACTCACCTTTGACCAGGTCGTTGATGAGCGTGCGCAGGTCGTTGGTCTGCTTCTTCTTGCCCTCGCACACATGCACCACATCGGTGAGATCCTGACGCACGTCCTGCAGCATCCGCGAGCCCATCTTCACCTCGCGCTCGAAGAACCGGAACAGAGGATCCTGGGAGGAGCAGACGCTTGCATGAGGGGTGCTGAAGTTAATCGTGTCTGCGATGCGGATGCAGTAACGGACCATAATCGATTATAGCCTTCTGACATCATTCGCATACGCGCTTGTCACACCAGTATCTGTTCTATGACAGTGTAAACAGGAAAAAAAACGCATGCATTCGGATATTTCCAGATCGGTTTCAGGCCTCATTCATATGTGGAAATAAATCCAATATGTGCCAATGCGACTCATGTAAACAGGCAGATCGGATTTTCTGAGGCACAACTGAAAGAACGTGTAAACGGACAGCCAAAAAAAAATCGGATATAGGCAACAAATCAGAATTGGCCATCTAGACCTGCAGTGGAAACGAGGCCGTAGATACTGAAAGTACTTTATCACTTGTATTTGTCTTTTTCCCCCTTTATTACTTCAAATATCAAAATGTAGCCATGTGCCGTAATATTGAAAATTGAGGATGACACATCATGACATCGAATCGTAGCAGTGGTGTCAAACAATTAATCAAATAAAAGTTTGTTTGCATAATGTGTTCAGTGTATATTTATTATGTATATATAAATACACACACACATGCAGTATTTTTGAAACCATGTACATGTATTTACATATCTATATTTATATTCACACAATTTAAATTATAAAAAAAATGTCATATAAACAACCTATTTTTCTGAAATGTATACATGCATGTGTGTGTATTTATAAATGCATAATATACACAGTACACATTCATATATTATGTAAACAAAAACGTTTATTTTGGATGCGATTAATCGTTTGAGAGCACTAAATCGTAAACATAATCCTAATCGAATCGTGAAGCCAGTGATAATTCACACCCCTAGCTTTCATGAGCCATCGAAGAAGAAACACCAAGCGTTCAAACTGAGTTTACGACAGCTACGATCTGAACTGCCATCAAGGCAAAGATGGGTATTACTTTTAAATCATGATTGTTCACATGATATAAAAACAAAGGTTTCTTCTCGTTTTCTATACAAAGCCTTCAGCAATATGCAATATCTAAAACATTCAAAATGACCGGTAACTATGTTTCTCAAATGAACTGATGCGATGTAAACAGTGGATGAAAGCGTCTGAGGTCTCTGTGAATGTGGGTCAGCCGGACCAGACTCGGGCCGTACCTTGATGTTCTCCACGGTGCGTTTGAGCGGGCTCACAGACTCCGGGATCAGCTGCAGCCAGTTACGAGCCGTGGTGTGAAGAGTCCTCATCCAGGCCGGCTGCGCGTCAGACGAGGACGTGCTGCGCTGCTTCTTCTCCGTCTCGTACGCCAGATCGTCCTCATCCTCCAACATCTGCATTTTCAGCAGCTTCCCCATCATGTCAATGCCTGAGCGGGAGGAAGGAGCGGCCGCGGGAGCAGGAAGTGAGGTACGGGAGGGAGACACCCACAGGAAGTGAAGGAGGGAGATCAAATTAACAGCTGGACAAACTTGAGTGTGTTAATAAGGGGGTTCAAGTGCTAAAACCCTGACGAGGAATTACTGGAAGACTTGCCACGGTCTGACGCCGCTAACACTCAGGAATCAGGACAACATTATAAACGAAGCGGAATAGAATAGACTTTAATTATGCGCAGTCACCTAATGAAGAGTTTTGTTTGAAGTTCAGTGGTCAACAATTTAATTTGCATTTCGTTTAGACAGTAGTCAACATTTGAAGGGGATCAAAAAAGTTGTCCTAAGACAAGAACACATTTTGGTTTTAGGACCATTTTTGATCCACTTCAATTGTTGACACGTGTAGTTCAAATATCCAGTTAAACTCAAACCGCCTTATGTTGCTGTGCAGGGAGAAATGACCCCAGAGCAGTAACTAGCAGCCGAGCGGTGACGTGAAAGCGGTGCATCGTGGCAAGTCCAGTATCTGTTGTTGACCAGGGCATCTCTGAGGATGACATGCATCTGAGCAGGACTGAACTGAACTGTGAGGAGAAAACAGCATCAAAACAAAGCGAGGGCCGGTGACATGATGGCAGTGAAATACAGCTACTGGAGGCTGAGGAGACAGAAGGACACCCGCTCCGCTGCGTGCAGCGCTAACGGCTCTAGCACACGCAGCCGAGGAGGCGTGCTCTGATGACGAAAGCCTGTGAAACTGACAGTGACCTCGAGACAGACAGACAGAGAGGAGGCGAGAAGGGTCAGAGTTCAGGAGTAAACACCGTCCTCATGACAGCCCCACAGACGCTCGTACCCTGAGTAGTGAGCAGGACCTTCTCCGCGTTACTCGGCAGACCCAGCCATGATGGAGTCTGAGTGTCCGGCAGCAACTCCACCCAGTGAATGAACTCCTCACGCCTGCGCCACAGAAACACAGACACACGCTTTATACAGGACAGACCGCTTCAGCTTCACAGAAATAAACAGGAACGTAACTCTTGAATTGAAATTCCTCAATTATGAAACATGAGAGGACTGTGTTCACTGGGGTTGTAAAGATGCGTCACATTTGCCATTATATGGATTTTTGCAGCCAAAATCCAATCTATGATGTCTGTCTGAGCCGTGCTTAATCTAGACACGTGCCAGTATTCGGTAATGTGATATATATCACAATAATGAACATGTGCGATATTGTTACCGTAGGCACTTCAAAATACCGTGAATAATTATTACAAATTCAGATTTTTTAAAATGCATTTTAAGAATACTTTTCCCATCAACTGGTCAAATGCACAACAGCGCTGTATGCTGCGTCACAGACGTGTGCGCACTCATGTAAACAAGCACGGAGGAGAAGCGCAGGGAGGAGCGACTGAAGGAGACGCTCCGGATAAAAGCACTTTCACTCGCTGACAGCAGGTGGCGCTGAAGAGAAATGCAGCCGTTACCCTGGAAACCCCAGAAACACAGCAGCTGCTACTTTGTTTCTGAACAGGATTTAAAGGTTTCAAACTTAATAGGTGACATTTTCAAACTTTTACATTTTAATGTATTTTTTAACGAAGAATAATAACTTCTGTAACAAACGTTGCTATTGCTCATTGTTAATGAAAGAAAAAAGCTATTAAACCTGTTATACTGTATTATGACAACACTTCTTTGTAACTAAATTTCAATACCGTGATTTAGCAATTATCGCAACATGAAAAGTTGAGACCTAGCTTCCCTCATCACTTCTCCATTCACAACAGACAACGGATCCTTTTTTTGCTTGCAAAATGTGGCTAATGTGATGCACCTTAATTTCTCTGGTTTTAAACTTGTTTGTGTGACCATTCTCTGTAAATCTGAACACAACACAGAGGTAATGAAACGGGTCTGCGCTGACCGGATCCCGTCGGGCATCTTGATGTCCTTGTGTCCGTCCACTTTGAGCGCCAGCTTGAACTCGCTGTCGAAGCTGCTGGTGGTGAAGAGACGCTCCAGGAAGGTGTTGAGCAGCCGCTGGTCGAACTCGTTGTCGATGCGTCCTCCGTAGATGGACTGGGCCATCAGCGTCCTCAGCGCCGCCCACGGGATCTTATCCGGAGAGATGTTCTGCCGGCCCTGCGGAGAACGACAGACGCTCAGAGCCTCACACACAGATGCAGATACAGCACAACAGACATGAGGAACCGACTCGAACCTTCGCCGTATCGTCCAGCCAGGTGTCCACCGTGTCGCAGGCCGAGCGCAGATCCGACTCTCCGAACTCGTACTTCTTAGACCAGCCCAGCGGGGCGTAACGCAGGCGCTCCTGGATGACGGCGTGGAACCAGGCCAGGAGGAAGTACAAGCGAGCTCTTTCGTTTGGAGACTGAGAGAAGAGACAGACAATAAACCACACCAAACACCAGCTCACGACTGCAGAAAACCCATTTCAGATTCATCTGAAGATGGAAAATTAGCGGTGAAGAGGAAACACTGACTGTAGATATGGATGTATATCACTATACGTGACCTGTGCTGGCAAGATAATTCACAATGAGCAGAGTTAAAGAGCTATTGGTTTCACATTCTCCATTAAAACTCTTCAAAGCACTACACCGGTTCACACAGCTACACCATCCGAGGGCGAGAGAGTCAGCAAAGTCAGTTTTGAGGAAAATCGTGTTAAAGTTTTCTGAAGGTTCCAAAGAAAAATCACAGAGTAACGCTGCATCTTCTTTTCTTAATCATTACGATATTAATAATCATAATATAGCTATTTTTTTATTTTATATTTGTAGTTATAAATAGGAACAGATGCAAAATAGACCAAAGAAAGAAGTGTATACTGTATTTTTTTTTTCATTTTACATCAAAACAAAAGCATTCAAGTAAAAAAAAAATAAATAATAAAATGTAAAAATCCCTTTAGTGTGTTTATTACAAATAAATTGATTATTAAAACTACAAAAGCAGTTCAATCAAGAGCAGAGAGCGATTCCCTATTCTTTTATCGTTTAATTAACATTAATGAGACAGACGGCTTATATATAAAGACCTACGGATCTAATATTATATTATTTTTCTATTCGATCCGTTTCCTTTTTATTTATTATATAATTTTTGTTTTAAAAACCTTGCTCCGTGTACTGCGTTAAGCTAACAGACTTGTTATAGCACTCGTATATCATTGCTCTTTTGTTGGTTTTGATTGCTTCTCTTGTCCTCTTTGGATAAAAGCGTCTGCTAAATGGCTAAATGTAATGTTACACATCCGATGTTTTCCCCAAACGTTCACTTAAGACATAACAGGTTATGTTTGCGTGAATATTTAAATACTGTAATTCTGTGTATATTTATCGTGAGCGCTTCGAACAGTCGAGAAGCGAGCGGAGGAAAGGTACTCCTCTCAGAAAACCCACAAATAAAGATAATCTTAGATGTTTAATTACTATTTAGAGCATTGGGATCGCTAGACGAGAGCTTAATGAACCCATTTTTGCGACATTCTTAACCTTTTTTGTTTTGCCTGTAGCTCAAAATTAACCCATGTGCATTCACGCTCATTTTGCCAGCACGGCTCACATGTTATGACATTGACACATTTTTATCAAATAAAACAATAGTCCTTATGATGATTTCCTATTACAAATATCACACAAATCAAGTAAATATGAATCCGCTTCGGAGCACCGGAGATTCAGCGTTGCAGGAACCGCTACCGCGATCACGATACAGACGCTACTGCTTCACTTCTAGCGGTTAGCATGTTCCTCACCTTACACATGCGTGCCACAGGAATACTGCTGAACGTGCGCAGCATATTAGCCTTCATCCCGGGAGGAGGCTCGAACACACAGATACGTCCGGCCCGCAGCAGGTTCACAGGGACCTGAGGGAGATACGGTCAACATCAGACGACTCATTCCTCATGACGG